GTTAAAGTTTACATGCATGCAAAGGTAATTTATGGAATAGTCGCTCTCCAATTATCTCCAACGTCCTGCAATCCTGCAAAAGCAAAACAAACAGAAAAACACTTTTTCCACAATAACACATTATTACAAATGTGGATGGGTCGCATATCAACCACAGACAATGCACTCTCGCCTTGTAGCCAGCACGATCCCCAAATCTCACCCCATGCGATTTTTTGCGATGAGGTTCGTAGAAAATCGCTTGCTTGTGCTTCCACGTTCAAAAACATGACTGTTTTGAAACCTCTTGTCACGGCTGATATCGCGAGCATCGATAGCAACTTGAGACTTGATGCATGCCATGTAACTGTGATGCCGCAATTGGCATTACATATTTATTTCCTACCTTTAAAATATCTTTAATATTTAAGCTTATTTCATTAATCAAATTATACATTTAAAATAAATCAAAGAGTTAATTTTTTAAAGAAACATAAAATATTTTATTCCTTTCTTATCTCTCATTTTTTCTTCTTTCTTTTTTTTCTTTCTGCTTTTATGTTTTTTTAAGTAAAAATTTGATTCATTTAGCAAGAATTGATTTGATGAATAATTTAACAATGGCCACGTATAATATATAAATCAAAAGGAAAAGAAATACCTTAAAGGGATCGAATCATACACTCTCTCTAGAGAGTTCAAGTTAGCAAAATTATTAAAATTAAATTGTATTTAAACGGCTAGGACGGCTGGGACTGGTGTGCCCAAAGGGCACTCCTAGTAGCCACAAATTTGAAATTTAAAGTGAATGCAATCGTTCCCAGCGGACACAGGAGAAGCATGGGTAGGAGACCCAAGGTTGGTGATTTATTATAATATAACATAGCCAAAACATAGCCAACCCCGCAAAATGAATATGGGGTTTAAAAGTACCTTGGCGATCACGAGTCGCCAACAAATTTATGGAAATTATTACAACCATGCAACTGAAACATATTTGCGGTTAGAAATTTAAGAATCAAAAGTTATAAATAGATTTTTGTTTTCGATTAGGCGCGGCAGTGAATTAATGAGTCTGCATTAGTAATGAAATAAAAAGTATCCGTTGCATTGATCGATAAAAAAATTTATTATTTTATTTTGGCTTTAAAAGATTAACTCTAAATACATAATTTGATTTTAAATACATAATTTGATTAATAAAATAAGCGTAAGTATTAAAGACATTTTAAAAGGTGGGAAATAAGTATGTAATGACAATTCTGGCATCGCAGTAACAAAAAGAGCCTATATCGAATAATTTCGAGGAATACATTCAAAACTTGTATAGCCACCATATAACCTCTATACATAGCCTCTTTATGCATATACATTTTGAATAAATACATTTATCATACTTTGCGTTGAGCACCTATAAATTTGATTTACTCTGTATTTGATGCAATTTTTAAGAGTCAATTTTTTTATTTCTTTCATTGCACATTTTTTAAAAAGGAGTACTAGGACTTCTATAATTTTTAAATGATAAATTTCTTGTTAATAACGCGTATAAATATATTTACTACCAGACAAAATACTGTTTCTATGTTAAAATATGGCATATAAATTGGCTGTAGGGAAATAGGTTGTAGAAGTGGGAGAAAAAAAATTTTACGAATTTCATTTTCTTGCTTAGAAAAACTTTTAGTTAATTTAGAATTTATTCTGGCATTTTTCTTTTATATAAAATAGTTTAAATTTGCTCAAATTTATTTTCTCAAAATCATTATTTTTTAATTAATAACTTAGGCAAGTAAATTTTCTGGAAATTTTAAGTTTTTAGCTTCAAAAGAAATAATTTATGAACTAGACAAAATGCTCCATTTTATGTTGTACATGAACAAATGAATTTTACTGGTGTTAGGTTTTTTTATTGTGTAATATATATGCTTATGATAGTTCGTTTGAGTTCTAATCAAGAAATAATCAGATCACGGGCTCATGTGCAGCCATCTTTCTGGTCTCGGTTATTTGCTTGCTGTATGCTTTCACCAAACTTCTATCTGTAATCCTTGTTTTCTCGTGGCTGTCCGGATGACATTTTCACTATTTAGTCAAGGCTTTTGTCCTTCCGGGTAATTGTTTACCAGACTTTTTTCTTTTCTGGTGTTTGCCTATGTTCAGAGTATAAACCCAATTAGAACTTTGATTTTAACCAAATCCGTATTCGTGTGCTTACGAACTTTCTCTAATTTATTTTTCCATTTTTCCTTGACAACTGTACGTTTTTTATTTCATATCACTTTTGTTCCTTCTTATTCACGTCTGTCAAGTCTTAAAAATTGGTACATATTTTTGAAGCGCTTGAAAAATGTCGACTGTAATTTTCTATTTATATACTTTTGAAGTGAATGAAGTTTTTAATTAAGTAGTATTCAATGGTTATAATATTCACATCTGATAGTGCGTAAAACTCAATCGAGTCGGATGGTTTAAGACACTGGTTACAAAATCGAATAAAAAAGAAAGAATTAAAAAGAATTCTTTGCCCCTCTTACAGATATGCAGACTTTACATCATGGTGTCATGTTGGAAATAGAGCATTTTTAAAGTTCCTGTGGTATTTGGCTACACTCTCTTAGCAATCGTGTTTTTAGTCCTGGATTGTTATTAGGGGGAAACTGAGACTTGCTTACGCCCTCCCTAGAGTATCTTAAATACATTTATCCTTCCTTCTAATTTTCAGAACTGACCAATCCTGTACTGGTTGGCTAAGCTAGATATTTGCACTGTATATCGTATTCGATATTTTTAACTGCATTTAATATTTAAAAAAAATAACGGTGATTAGTTTCTAGTGATTACTTTCACGTTCCAAAAATGCTGGCCCTTATAAGGTAATACAGCCTCGTGTTACCGTCAATTTAAGAGAAATCAGAAGGACCTGCTTTCTTAAAAAGGAGAAAATAGAGCAATAAGACTTGATTCCTACACCTCTAACAGCTCTTTCAAATACACAGTTAAATGTCTAACCATCCATTATAACATGTTTGCAACAATTTATTGAAAGCATTTTCAACTCACAATTCTTCTCTGAAAGCAACCCAAAGACAGAAAATAACTTTCTTGAACGAGTTTAAGTAAACATCATAAAAGCTCATAAACATCCTTATTTGAAACCGCCTTATTATTAGTAACTGCCATATTTTAAGCCCTTAATTAATGAGAAGAGCACATATACCATTTAAAGAAGTTTTTCTTTAATGCTTTTACCAGCATTCCCACTCTGAGTGTTGCACGTAATCAGAGTGGTGTATTGGAACAAACAAATTGCTATATTTGCATTTTATAATTAATACAGGGTGCTTATCCAACAACATTCTATCATTCTACTTCATGTCGTAGTTATCTACATTAAACTTTATTTCAACTAGAAACGTGGGAATTATTATTACTTTAGTGGATTATTTTGAAGGATTAATTATTATTCGTATTTTAAAAATTTCTTAGGGTCATGGAATCCTAATGAATCCGTAATGTGTCTACCACTACAAAAATAACATTCCAATTTACTAGTATATAAGACGGGTTAACACGATTCTATGATGGGGTACCTTTTCATACATGAAGGTTGACATTGTCGATAACTACTATTAGCACAATCGTGACCTTCGGACATGATATGAACATGCCTACCTTGACGGAAACTCCCTCTTCGATATGAACACGCCTACCTTGACAGTAACGCCTACCTTGGCAGTAACGCCCTACTTCGATCTGAACTCGCCTACTTCTATGGATGGTCCACATTGAACAATTGACTTGCTACTGGAGACTGCGACATTATCCACCTCCTCACGCTGTTGCTACTCAGTCTCGATCACACGTCGGCTTACATACACTCGACTGCTAATAGCAACACAGGAGCAACAACGACCGTAAACCTAATACAATTCTCATGATCAGCGTTCAAAAGTACGGTGATCTTAATACAGCTCACCCAGCTTCTCACAAAACAGTAATAAATCAACTAGTGGTATCTGTTCATTGAATTCTATCGCAGCTATAAATCTGGTGGGGGAGTACTAAAGTGTGTCTACCACTACGAAAATACAATTCCAATTTACTAGTATATAAGACGTGTTAACTCGATTCTATGATGGGGTACCTTTTCATTTATGATGGTTGACTATCCCCACAAATCTTCTACTTTTTTCAACAAAATAATTTTAAATTTGTTATAAATGTGACATGCAGGCTCTCAAAACATAATTAATACGAAAAAGAGACTAAAACCAAATCTAATATCACATTATTTACCTTTATCTTATCACGTAATATCACATTATTTAACTTCGAAACTGCTGAAACTATTCAACAAATACCATTTAAATATAACAAATAAACCGTTTTATTGAAACCATTTAACAATAACAACTAACCAGAGGTTAAATCTTTCACTTTATAATTCACTTTATAATTATCTTTTATTTTTTTATCATCCAACATCATAAAGCACTAATTAACAACTTTATTCATAACCTATCAAACACTCAAGTGCATATTTTCCAATAAATTTATAAGAACACAAATTATTGTTTTTGACAGGAAAAAAACGTGTTCATTATCTATATCTTACAAATCGCAGTCGAGGAAAAGCGAATGTCAGAAACACTAAAACTTGCTTGGTTGCGGAAAGAAACGGAAAGGAGTCAAAAGACGATTATCATAAATACTTTCAATTTTTGACCTAAATTTAAATTAATTTTGATGTTCTGTACAACAACTTTCCTTAAATGTTATTTGCCAGATTTCTGTAGAGTTTAATATTTTCTCCTTTAAATATTAGTGTGTGACCCCTATTTTTGAGCAAAAAAGCATACATGCGATTGGGATCTCGAAGCAAATTTTCGAGGTCCATATTAAGGTTGGTCTTTAAGGAACACCCTTTGTGCAGCAAAGAACTGGGAAATGAAAGGTTTCATTGAAAATTTCAGTTCATTTCTTTGGAAAACAAAAATGAAAGAAAAAGAAATGCTTACCTAATTTGGCAACGATGACTAATGTTATCACATGAAGATATATCATTTTCATCGTTTATATTATTATTACACGTCAATGTTCTTTAATTTTAAAATTCTAAAAGTTTTTATCATGATTGGATAGTGGCTTCTCCTTCAATCCAAAACTTCAATTTGAATAGATATTTGTGCGGCCTGTTTAATGTTTATCAAGTGTAAATTGTTGATATAAATATAAAACATTGGCGTCAAATTAATACTATGCTATGAATTTTTAAAAAAAAGTTATATTTTTCTGTAAGCAGTCATACTTTTAAAACTTGTTCAAAATAGTACTGAGAAATTCAATGCTTTTTAACAGCAAATAATAAACAAATATATTTCGGTTAACCGGCTTCAAAAATCTTATAAATCTCTGCATAAGTCGAATATTTTTAAAACAACACAAAAGTTAAAATGTTTGAAATTGTTGTTTTTTTCGTGTCCAAGTGTTACATAAAATTTGTAATAATTTTTTTTTCTTTGCTGTAAAATTTCTGGATCAATATTATTTATAATGATAAAAACTTTATCTCTTTTTTTTAATTTTGGAATCTAAAACATTGTTACATGTTTGTAAACAACACGCTTAAAACTTCGCTCTATATACAAAATCGCAAATACTTCGGGTAAATTTCCAACATGTATATTAACTATAGCAATCAAGTTCATAAATTAAAAAAAAAAGTTTAGAAACAACTAAATTTTTCAATTACATTCCTTGCAGCATGCTTTAAAGTTTATATTTACTGCTATCTATTCACGTATTTCAAAGTTTTCCGGCTTAAATAAATCGAAATTTTGAAACTATTTTGTATCTGATTCGTTCAATAAAGAATGTTTCGAACCGAAAACTTTACGAGTGCCAAGCACACACGTGCCAGCAATGCGCAAATGTAAATAAATAATCCAGCCGCTGTCACGAGTTTCCTACTTTATCTGGATGTTTCGCCAGAAATGTCGATGCAGAAGAGAGGTGTCTGTTTAGTCGACTTGTGGCTACCGATTGAACGCCACCACAAATCCGCGCTTGCGTGTTCGCTCAATAATCTAACTTTGAGAACCTTGCTTTTTGACTCAGATGTCAGGAGAAAAGTTTGTTTATTTTTGCCCCTTATTTATCCAGTTTCCTTCGAGATTTCCAAAAGTTTATCCCCAAATATATTTGATTATACTTCAGATTTGAATGTTTTTTTTTTCTTTAAATAAGATGCAACAGACTGATATTTTCGGAGATTAATAAACATATATATTTATGATTAATAATAATTGCGGCAAATTTTTGTCTTGTACTTCTTATTCTTTTTGTATTTATTTGTTACAGTATATGCATAAAAAATTTTTAAGAAGGAAGCTGAAATTTTTAGAAGCTTGTTTATTTTATTAAAATAATTTTAATGCGCATTTATTTTCGTTGAGTTCTTTTAATTTGTAAAGTTGTTTACCTTCTTTTTATAAAAAAGTGCGAAAAATCTGATAAAATTTTGACGAATCCTGAATTTGGTGGAAATTAATTTATTTCGGTGGTACAAAAAAAATTACTTTTCTCCTTAATTAATGATTTCTATTTTATATCTTTAGGCCATGCTATGAAAGTAAGTGTGTTGTTGCAACAAAATGGAAAGGATCAAAAAGTTACTTTTTTTGTAGTCCAGATTCTAATGAAATTGCTTAAATTATTGATTTTTTCTAAATTACACCAATTTTAAATTGTTAAATTACGCAATTGTTTGTTTTTAATTTGTTTTTCTTCTCGAATGAATTTTAGGTCAGTAAAATTTAAAGAATTAAAAATAAGGAATTAGAAATTTTGTTTATCAAGGGACTTCATTGTTTAAAGATCAATTTCTTTGAAACAATTATTGTTAAATTAAGAATGTGTATTATTTTAAAGAACAACATAAATTGAAAGTAATAATTAATATCACATATCATTATGATAAGGAATACTTTTATGCGCTAAATAAAATTCATAAAAATTGCTTCAGTTTCAAAATGTTACATAACAATCAAATTTTTAAAACTTTTCAGTATTTTTGAATAATTCATTCTTATTTAGATTTAATTGTGTTTCAGCTAGAATAAGCTGAAATATTGCATAAAATCTTCACTGAAGTAAATGTTTAATGTTTTATTCTTAATGTTTTATTACATTTTCACTGAAGAGATATTTAATATCAATTCCATAAAATGTAAGTGTTTAACTAATTACTATATAATAAATCAAAACTTACTTTAAAAGAAAAGTTTAAAAATGCATTTAATAATGCCGCTGTAGCTTAGGAAAGTATACTACTATGTTTATTACAGCATAGGAAAGTATATTTGTTTAATTCAAAGTTTTTGCAGCTTATATATAATCTTTTTTGTCGGTTCGTCGGAGAAGGATACTTTTTGTGTAAATAAGAGATTAACTTCTTTGAAGATTTAAAGTAGAATTTAGAACTTTCAAATACATCGCACTTACTTGCTCTAAGGTATGTTTATGTTTCACGTCGGTCAAAGCTTTCTACATTAAATAGAGTAGTGTTATGTTTGGGTTTAAGAAAATTGCATTATAAATCATTTTGACTGACATCATTTCTTTTTTTAGCATCAAAGTATGTAACAGAAACTGTAACTTTAAAATTGCTTCGTAATTCTCTCAATATGTATGTGTATTATAAATATTAGATTCAAATTAAAGTTTTATAACTTTGCAATGATTTGATAAAAGTATGAATAAAAGTTTTTACGTACATTTCGCATTTAATATGAAAACAAAAATGTATCTTTGTATGATAAAATTTCAGGAAGAGATAGCACAAATAGAAGAAAAAAAGTAAGCATAATATATGATTTATTTTAAGAAAAATAAACACTCAATCAAGAATAGTATTGCATTTGAGTTATCAGTCACCAATTGAACCATCATTTCAAATCACTCATTTTTTATTCCAATGAGATCAAGGAACTCGTCAAAAATTGATAGCTGTTAACAAATATATTTTAATTATCATATTAATATATTTTATTTTTATTTAGTTCCTTGAATTTCGGGTTGGATAAAAACTTTCATCAAATATATAAATAAATTTGTAGTGTCTCTTTATTGTTTTAGAAACCAATCTGAAAAAAAATTAAAATAAAGTGAAAAATTTTAACCTTATTTATTAGTTATATAGCTTCTATAAGACGCATACAACTACATATTACTTAACTGTTTTTGTGACAAATTTAATTTTGCTTTATTTGTAAAGATAATTACTTTTTATCTTTTGATTATGATTATATATGATTCCAAATTATTATTTATGATTAAAGCTAATTATTAACAACTTATTACATGTTAACGTCAAAATCTAACGCATTTTTTTTTTAAAAAAACCTTCCTTTTAATACTTATCTTCTTTTAATTATGAATTTCATTAAAAAATCACGTTTTAAGTTTTTTCTTGCAGAATTATACGCATAATAACTTTTTACAGAATTTTAATCAAATACAAATCTAGCAAAAGTAAAAAAAAAAGAGATTCGTTGCTTATACCTTCAACCGGCCCAAGATTCAATACTGATAGTAGTCAAAGGTACAAAACGCATACACTTGTATTAATGAATGTATAAAAAATGAATTAATGCTCTTAAATTCGATATTTTATTTTAAAGAGAATGATATTTATATACCTTAGTTCTGTTTTCTCATGTAACGGTTTTATGCGGTTTTAGGGTAGAGTGTCGTCCCTAGGACAAGCTTTCACATTTAAATTTTGAGAGCTGGCAGTAACTATTTTAAAAATTTAGGTATTTTTTAGAAATTCCATCATATATTTATCTATTAACATAAATTTTTGTGGATAAAAAAAGTTTAAATTAAGAAAAATTGTTCAAAAATAGAACATGGGGCTTAACTATAGATCACCATATATTGAACTTGGACTCACAGTTACTGCATGGATGCCACTGATTTCAAGTTATATTCTGATAATCTTGTTAGCAGATTAAATTTGGATATTCATTCAATTAAAACTTTGTTTTTAAGTAACATATCCAAGTAAAATTATATTAAAGTACAAATTGCAAGTATTAAATAATATTTTTTTGAGATATTTTTAAAAAAATAATAATTATTATACTCTAAATATATTTAACATATTAATGTTCCAAGTAAAGAATATTATTTATCCAAAACGCCAAACTCATTTGGTAAGGTAACATTTCCGGAGAAGAAAATTATCCTTTGTCTCTAACTTGATACGTTCCAACGCACAGCGAACAGACTCTATGTGCACAATCTGAGCAATATAATAAAAAAAATAATGAACATGACAATAAAATGATAATAACAATAAAAAATGCATACTTTATTTTAAAAAGAATGACTTTATGGTACTGAGTGCCTTAGTAATGGTTTAAATGTAAAATTCATAGGGAGTATTTGAAATTAAACAGTTTGAAAAAAATTATTTCCCAACTACCAAACAAAAAAATGCTTTATCACATGCCTTGGGAAACTGCGTCAGCACACCAGATATTATTGATTATTATTAATTATTGCAAGTATTAGTAACATATACTAAATGCAGAAATTTTGCACTGATGCGAGCAAATACTTACTCTGGTTAAAGGTGCATGTCAAGATACTGTGGCAAAATAAAAAATAGACCACCCGGAATTACTTTGGATCGGATCTCAATATTATAAATCTCAATCTTAATAATTCGAAGAAGTGATCCCAAATATGCTTATTAATTAATGCATATGATATTTTACGTGACAAAATCGGACACAGAAACGTACATTTTCTAATTAAACATACCTTTTTTTGATGGATTCGGATTTCTGACCCTCAAAATATAGCGGGTAACAGCAACATGGGAAATAAGTTTATAATGGTTTGTTCAGAAGAACTGTCCGAAATTTGAATGACTTGATTATAATCTTAAATTTCGCATATTTTGCAATATATCGAGAACTTTTAAAGCAAATTGAAAAAATTTTCCACTTAATTATAAAATTCGGAGAAGTCGTATTTTTTAAATTTAATTTTTCAAGAAATATTCGAAAGATTTCGTTCAAAATTTCTTTTTTGCCATTCAAATTACATCCTTTTAAATGGTTAAAAAAAATTGTACCCTAAAAATCAAAATTTTTTTGACAATTAATGTATCTTTACCTACAATAAAATAAAGAATTCGAGTAAACGGTAGACTCTAAGAATACGAAATTCAACATGAAGCTGAATGACTACAATTGCAAACTTTTTATGAATCCCAATTTTCGATTTTTAATCAGACTTTTAAATACGGAGACATTTAAGAAATAAAATTTTCTCATTTGAGAAAGGGGAAGCC